GTGTGAATTCCTCAGGAAGGTGCCAGTCTCATCCTCTTGTTGCTCCCACACTCCTCCGGCGAGCTAAGAAAATGTTTATCTTCCTGAGCCTGGCCTTCATAATTCCATTCCATCACATAACCCTATGTTATATTATAATTATATGGTCAGGCTCCACTTATAAAAGCCGCCCGGATAAGAGACAGAAACATCTTCGACTCCTGCAAGCCACTGCCCATCTGGAGAATATTGGGCTAAACAAGCCAATCGTTTGGCTTAGTCTGCAGCAAGGAGGTAATTTGGTAAGACCTTATAAAGGTGTTACCAGGTCTCCATTTCACTAGAAGCTTCCCTGGGAAGTTGGGTTGCAATCTCATGGTTAATTTACTGAGAAAAGCTGGAGTAGGTATTTAGCTAAGAATGCGAAGTCCTGCACCCATAGCTGCCCCTCTTTCTTTGCATTCTGCATATGAAGACCATAGGCAATTGTTTTTCATCCTCGCGAGCTTCACAAGACAACTTCTACCATCTTATTAGGGTAGGAGAATACCAGCAGATTTCACCCATTACTATCAAAAGTACAATAGGCAGGGGTTCTGAAAGGTATTTCCTAGGAACAGAGGGAGCACTAAATACACCACACCACGCTTTCATATTCAGACGAGACCCCACATAGCCAAGTGAGATTATCTCTGAAGTACAACAGCTCAGACAGAAATTTTTCCCATTTCTGCTTCCAAAAATCCTTTAATTGGATTCTGACTGGAGACTTCTAAATAAAAAATATGCATCACTCCGCAAACTAGTCTCTCCCCAATTGTCTCTACTAGTCCCATCCGATCCAGCAGGAGGAGTATGCTCCGGGTAACCTTGGCACCTGCCTTTTGGAACACTATGCCCCTGAGGTTAGATTGTCCCGTCCCTGTTGGCCTGTCATACTCCTTGAAAGCTTGGTTTTGTGCCCAAGCCTGGGGCCCCGGGCACTGGATATAACTCATCTCCTGGCTGTATGGATAACTGATGATGCCCAGATATGTGTTTAATTTTTCTTTTTCATATTGTGTATTTTATTTATTTTATTGTAAGCCGTCCAGAGTCACGTAAAAGTGAGATGGGAGGCTATATAAATCAAATAAATAAACTATGGGGCCTCTGCCCAGATTTCTTTTTCTCCTCCTAACTGATATGTCAAATATTCAAACCAGGAAAGAGTTATCTGCGGTA